CTATATTCTACAATGGTCTCATTTTGGCTTATATCTTGAACTCCCTAATTGGGCTTGGGCTCCAATTCTTGGATCATTTAATTGGACTTCATTTTTTGTATGTCAACAAGTTCCTTTGATTGTTGCCGAAACAAATCTTCTTGTTTTTTGTGCTATTCAAATATTGTTGTGTACGGACGGTGGGTGGTGGTGTGTATGGATTGGATGGAAACTATTGGTTGGAATTTTTACTTTTGAATTTGAAAAACGAAAGATTTATTTGGACAAAAGAAAAGAACTTGTTCTTAATCTTATACCAATTTGACGCTAGGGTTTATAATTTGCTAACGAACAAGACGGGGAACAAACAAAAAAGAATTGATGGCAAAGGAAATCAATTTTTATTCAAATATTAAGGGTTATAACTATTACATTGAATAAGCCCTCTATTTATCAAGCAAATAAACTAAAAAGAAGGTAAAAGGAAACAAACTTTTAATAAATTATAATTGTATCAAAATATCAAAAATAATATTATCTAATCTAATTGGAATTAAACCATATTTATAAAATTTTATTATAATTCTAACTCTATTTTTATCTGTATCTTGATCTCCATGACCTATGTTCTAAACTCTTTTCTTTTTTTCATATTAATCAAATGTTGGGGTATCCAAAATGCATTGGAGAGGCCAAGGCCTCGAAAAAGACCTGTGAATGATAGCTTAAAACTATCATCAAAACTCGAGTGGCCTTTAAAGGAAAAAATTTGGGAAAATTTCGTGCTCACCAAGTGATCCTTTTATATGGAATGATAATTAATTTTTATTATCAAAGAAAATCTAAATGAAAGGTTTTGAAATTCCCATTTTCCTTCATGAAAATTGAACATGATAAGTGGTTATTTATAATGTATAATAGCTCTTAACCACTTCTGAAAAACTAAATTTATTTGGGAAAACATTTTATGTAGTTGTATCAAATAAGAATGGCAACATGGCGGGTTCTTGGCGAGGACCACATTCGCCTTCAAGTGAGTGGTTGCACTAAGCATGTCTAAAATTGCCGTCGCTTAGCTGCTGGCAACTTTCGAGTTGGCGTTTCTGTTCTTGATGAGGAATGTCGGAGGAGATAGGGGTTGACAGGAAGAAAGTAGAATGGGTACCCGGATTATTAAATCGATTTAAGTGTGCTTGGATGTCGATACAGGAAGTTTAAATATTTTTTTAAGATACATCTAGACGGGTAGATTAGTTAAAATTAATGGTTGCGATGATTCTTCAAATCCTTGGTGGGAGGAACGATCCCATCTGTGGATTATAAACATTTTTGTAAATGTTCAAAATTTAAAACAACGACTTGCTTTCTTATACTAGTCTATATTTTCAGTATATTTTAGGTGGGAAAAAAAAATTTAGATCCATTCCCTATTAAAACCTTGAAATATATAATATGCGAAGATTGACAAACCGGTAGCGAAATGCAAGGTAATACGCGATTGAACAAGGGAGTAAAATGTTTGCCCTAAAGTAGGTGAACCTTCCCCCTCATCCACACAGCCAATGAATAAAACGTCATACTCTTAACAAAATCAGTTACAAGTTAGCCAATAAAAAGTCGTCATTTGTCGTTTTTCCTAAATGATCGAATTACCCTAAAATTTGGAGAGAAATCTATAAATACCCTCACTTTTGAAGGAAAATATATGCAATTCAAATATGCCTCTTACAAATAGTCAATTTTCATCTAACTTCAAGTTTGAGCATCGAAATTTAGCGAGTTTAGGAAGTGAAAATCTTAACTAGGTGAAAGAATTTGATGATCTGATTTCTATAGTCAACATTCCCCGAAAATTATCAAATATCTAATAAAATCGCTAAAAGAATCACGAAAATAATATTTTTGAAATAAAATTAAGGTGCATCGGAGGGAATAATCACTCCATGGTTTTAGCATGAGATCTACGACTACGAGCACAGTAATACACAGAGCAAAATGCTTGCAAGATCATCAACAGCAATATCAAAATAACAGCCATTAATGTGAGAGACTGCCATGACCCAGAAAAACGTTTCATCAACTTGTCAACTTTAACCCTCCATCTTTCACTGTAATTCTTGTTCACATCTTCAATCACTTTATCCAAGAAGGATACCTTTGTCAATCTAATAGACTTGCTCATGCCGTTCCATAAATTTGCCACTTCTTCATCACTCTTCAACTGGTTCGAAATTATGCCATGTTCTCTAAGAAACTTTGCATCATCTTCAGTGTCGATAATTCCGTTTATTAATTCGGTGTATCGAGTAAAAACCAATGGCCCTGATGCACTGCAGGCTTCATAAGCCACCAAATTTCTCAGCACTACCTCTGTGTTCACATCTAAACTAATTCTGGGGAGATAAAATGTAGATGTTTTCTCGTCGAAATTAATGCTCGAAATGCCTAAATCTGTGGCTGAAAATTTGACACCAGCCTTTGAGAGTTCAGTTACAGAAGGAATAGTAATTTCCTCCATTAATGGAGGTTTGTTAACGGACTTATTCAAGTTACATGTTTCATTATCTGGTTTACTTTCTGGTTTTTCTTGAGAAAACCATAAGTACTCAACAGGATGTTTTATAATTATTACTACAGGAAGATTAGAGATAATTTTCCAAGGTAATTTAAATATTAATTTAGCAGGTCTTGAAAATATTAATCTCTTGATAAAACTTACAGGACTTGCCTTCAATTTCGAAAAAGTCTTTGCCAAATAATTCTTTTCGCTTTCTTGTGTCTCATTTTCGTCATTTCTCTCCTCGGATTCTGCCATTTCGGATGAGCCCTCTAATTTTGGGACAATCATATGGTACAAAAGGTCTAGCAAATGAGTACACTCCAAAACCTGAAAATTAGGCCACTCTTGTATTGTCTTAAAAGGAGAAAGCTCTTTACAGAATCCCGTCAACATTAAATATAATGTACTATCTGCTTCGTCCAACGATGATAATTGGAATTCTAAAATTTTTCTCAAGGAAAATAATGGAATCTGATTCTCAAGCATCACCACATCTCTTAAAATAGCGTTATGTGCTGATTTTCGCCCCGAAACATCAATTAACTGTGACATCGTTGAAGAAACCTTAGTTAGTTCCTTACCTTGTTTCATAATATATATTTGCAGGAACTCAAGCAAGAAAGATGCATCCACAGCGATCATCCACGCTAACGTTTCGCCATTGAAATTAAGGTACTTGTGGTAGGAAGCTCGAAATCGAGGCTCAAACTTTGTCAACTGATCTACTAAATACTGGAATTTGAAGTTTTGAAGCTTTTTCTGGGTTCTTTTAGCTGCAGCAAGTTTATACCTCTCGTTTTCATAGAGCTCAGGGCGGAAATGGTGATATGGGCCTATTGCTACTTGTTGTGGCACGAAGGAATCCGGGTTAGTCGTCATTAGGGTTTTTGGGACTTTGAAGATGGAGACGGGAATATCACAATGATCTTCTTCAATTTCATCGACCTCTATGGTTCGACGAATATTAATTACCCAACGATGTTCATCGAAGTCTAGATTTGAGTTTGAAGTCGTGTTAGGATGCGAGAAAAACATGTCTATTGATTTAATTAGGTGTTTCTTGGCAATTAGACAGTTTTGGTTTATTCAATAAGGGAAATTGAAGAATGCATCACTTTAATGGTACAACATAAACCAAGTTATAATGATGTCATTTATGAAATATAAATGCACTTGTCTAAAGTTAATATTTTAGTATTATTTCTTTTTAGTATTAATAATCAAGCAACATTATTATTTCATCTTCGATGCTCCTATATTCTGGAGATTGGAAAAATGTTTTAAAGTAATTTTTCCAATGTGATCAATTTTTGGTAGGGGTATTAAATAGTTACATGTAAATTATTCAAATGGAACAAGGTAACCCCAAGGATAATATTGACCTCAAAATTTGTCCAACAAAACCCAATTACCTCCCCATCCACCCGAGCTTCGCCTCTGAAGCACACCATTAAGGTGCAAAAGGTCATCGGCCGAAAAAAAGATTCGATGATCGTTTGAACGTCGACGATGAAGCCAATTACACGAATGATGAAAATGTACGCAAGATGAGTTTGCTTGATTCAATCGATCCAATCCAATTAGTATAATCAGTCGAGATGTCGAGTCGACCAATGTGAGACCCTTTTGGCCACATGCATGCCACGTAATTAATATGAATATCAGGTAACTAGGAAACACTCCCACATAATTAGTGTCTTTTCTCTTCTAATCAGTCCATCATCTAGTGTAATCCTATTCAAGAAAGGTGTTCACATCACCTTTATTGTGATCCTTGGAGTGTAAAAAAAAAAAAGATTGAATGGTTGGAAGCTTAATACAAATCGTGGAATTCATGGAAAAAGTGTTATGTGTGATGTAACCTTACAAAACTTTTTTCCTGCTTTTTAACTTCGTATTCTTTAAAAAAAAAATCATTATCCCAAAAAAGTCAAACGTGGACTAAATAGTAACGTAGAAATTATAGTTACCTTTGTAGCTCAAATTTCTCATTCTTCATTTGTATCAACTAAAGTAATAGTGTTCTACCAACAAGTCTTTTAGAATATTCTCCTTCGCACAACTACACCTTAGAATCTGGAAAGGACTGAATCTAGAGATGGCAATTTTCCCCGCCCCGAACGGGTTGGCGTCGCCCCGAACCCGCCCTGTGAAGAATTAAAAAAAAAAAAAATTGTTTTGGACATTTTTTCGTTTCAAGTGCTTGCTTTGAATATTGATATAGTTAGTATGAACATTATTTGCTTTGAATTTTAAAATTTTGAATTTGTATTTTAAATAAAAAAAAAAACAAATGGGGCAAGAAACGGGGCAAGTCCTCGCCCCGTACCCGCC